AAGTGTTATCCACTATGCTTGGCATAATCAATAAAATAATGATTTTAATGATCCACATAAAAAGTATTTATTGAACTGCATATGGTGATTGTGGTAGTTTCAATGTAATTGACCCCATCATCTCATAGGAAGTGGCACTATTAGGAGGTGTGGCCTTGTAGAAGTTGGTATGGCCTTGTTGGAGCAAGTATGTCACTGTGGGGGTGGGCTTTGAGGTCTCCTATGCTCAGAGTATCGCCCAGTGTATCAGTTAACTTCCTGTTGCCTGTAAGACGTAGGACTCTCAGTTACTGCTCTAGCACCATGTCTGCCACGCTTCTAGCCATAATGATAATGAACTGAACCTGGGAAACTGTAAACAAATCCCCTCATTTGTAAGAGTTGCCATGGTCATTGTGTCTCTTCACAGCAATAGAACCCCTAAGACAGTGGTACACACCTGCAATCCAAGCATTTAGGAGGTAGAGGCAGGAGGATTCTTGTAAGTTAGAGACCTGCTGGGTCTACAAAGTGAGTTCCAGGTCAACGAGGGAGGGATGCATAGTGAGATAGTGAGACCCCCTTTTTTTTTTTTTTTTTGGTTTTTCGAGACAGGGTTTCTCTGTATTGTTTTGGAGGCTGTCCTGGAACTCAATCTGTAGACCAGGCTGGCCTCGAAACTCACAGAGGTCTTCCTGCCTCTGCCTCCTGAGTGCTGGGATTAAAAGCATGCACCACCAATGCCTGGCTTATCCAGCCAGATTTTTTTTTTTTTTTTTTTGGTTTTTCGAGACAGGGTTTCTCTGTATTGTTTTGAAGGCTGTCCTAGAACTCACTCGGTAGACCAGGCTGGCCTCGAACTCACAGAGATCCGCCTGCCTCTGCCTCCCGAGTGCTGGGATTAAAGGCGTGCACCACCAACGCCCGGCTACCCAGCCAGATTTTTAGATTTTATTTATTTTAGTTTTTAGAGACAGGGTTTCTCTGTGCAGAAAACAGGCTGACCTCAAACTCACGGAAATCTGCTTGCCTCTGCCTCCTGAGTGCTAGGATTAAAATCATGTGTCACCACACAGAAGTTAACAGTTTTTGTTGTTGTTGTTGTTGTTTTTTAGATTAATTAACTTTTGGGACAATCTCACTTTATAACCCAGATATATATATATATATATATATATATATATATATATATATATATATATACAACAGTTCTGAGGGGAAAGGCTTCCCCAGTGCAAAAGGAAAACCCCAAAGTCATACCACACAACACACTTCACACAAAATATTAATTAGGAAGAACATAGGAGAGTGATTGTTTCTGTTATGGGGAGAGGCAGCAGGGAACTGAGCAGGACGCAGGCTCTATATAGGGTTTCTTAGAGGTGGAGTTTTCTGGGATGGGGATTGGAAAGCATTCAAACCAAGACCAGGAATTTTCTGCTCAGGGATTGGTAGGCTTTTAAACCCGGAAGTGGGCTTGGACCTTTGACCCTACACAGTCAGCCTTGAAATTTTAGCTCTTCTGCCTCAGCTTCCTAAGTGCTGAGACTAAAGACTGATGTCACCAGACCTGGTAGTCTTTGTCAATACATTTTTATTTAAAAAGTATTTATTTATTTGTTTGTTTGCCTATTTACTTATTTGTCTGCTTTGGAGACAGGGTCTCACTAGATAGCCTTGACTGTCCTGGAGTGTTCTATGTAGGCTAAGGTGTCCTATAACTTCCAGAGATATGCTTGCCTCTGCCTCCTGAGTGCTGGACTGAAGGTGTGAACCATCATGCCTACCTTCAATTTCTAAAGGTTTTTTCTGTTTTTTGTTTTAGACAGTCCTGGCTGTCCTGGAACTCACTCTGTAGAACAGGCTGGCCTTGAACTCACAGAAATTTGCCTCCCAATTGCTGGGATTAAAGGCATGTGCTTGGCTCCAATTTCTAAAATTTTGAAATTTAAACTATATACACATATAAACTCTAACATACTATCTAATTCAATCTTTCAATTCATTTCTAACTAATTTCAAGACAGTAATTTTTAAAATTTAAACAGCAAAATTAGGGGAAGAGGGATTAATATACTAGTTAAAATTTATAAATAGTTATTAATTTTGGAATAAGCTCATACTATCTTGTCTTTTCCCTTGGTGAATTACCACATCTCTTTTAAATAGACTTGGTCTCAAGGGACACATTATTTTCTGTATCTCACTTCTAGTCTAATTGTGGAATTCAAAACATAAATGACTTCTTGCAGGTTAGTTTTATTATAAACAGTTGTTTCTTAAGAATTATTCTCCTTCTGCTGTCAAGTATTTGCTTAATTTTATAGTCAAAATGAACTTTGAGCAACTTGTTTTTAACTTCTTTTTATTTGAAATACTGAAACAAATTTAACCTTTAAAAAATCATATTTTATAGGGTACTCAGAAGGACCCTTGCTAACTGAGGCATCCCTATTTTAAGGGACTTTCCTTATGTGGTTTGTTTGTAATGCAAGATAAGTTACTTGCTTTCACCTAAACAGAGAAATTGGCATGTCTGCCTAGCAACAGCTGGCTAAAACCTTCTGTTGTGGAAGGTTCCCTAGGAGTGAGAAGGGAGGAGGAGGAGGAGAATGAGAAGGAGGAGGAGGAGGAGGGGTAGGAGGAACAGATTAATCTGATTTTCCTAGTAAAGGACAGAGGTCTGGTTGAGAAGGGAAAAAAGGCTTTCCAAGAGATAACTTTTAGATTAGTACATGCTTGCCTAATCCCTATGACTGCTAGAAATGAGGCCTGGTTTTACTGCAAGAGCCAGGCTCTTATCTGGGAGATATGTTCCCAGGTGTTCAGCAGATGACTGAACTAAGGGAAGTAGCACAGAACCCTCTCCGTGTTTACTTAGATATAAGACTAATTAGATTTAATTTACAAGTTGGGCACAGCTAGAAACTAATGATAAGTAGAACAATTGTAACAATGTATTATAGAAAACCATTGAAAACTCCTGAATTGTTTCTGGAATTTGTTTCATTTAACATTTTTGGTTTGCAGTTGTCCAGAGGTGACTGAAATCATAGAAATTTCAGATAAGTGGGCCACTACTGTATTCAGTAAAGAGATTACAGATTTAGCTCACTACAAAAGCAGCAAACATGATTAATACAGACACCAATAAGTGTAAAAATAAGCTGAAATTTTACCACCAGGAAGTTACAATCAACTACAAAGAACTTGTTTTAGATGTTTAGGAAAGTGTGTGATATTTTAGAGATAATTATAAAAACTACCTGAGCTAGATGTGCAGGCTCACACCTATAGTTCCCTGGAGTTAAGAGGAGGGAGGCTAGCCCTTTGCACTAGCTACACTATGTGTTCCAGGCCAGCCTGTGTTACAGGAAACAGCCAAAACCTAGCCAGGTATGGAGCATACACCTATATAATTTCAGCTCTCAGGAGGCAGAGGATCAGGACTTCTAGGCTAGCCTGGACTACAGGATACTTTGTTACAAAAACAGACCAAACCCAGCCAAACCAAACCAAATCCAACCAACCAACCAACCAAGCAAACAAAAGAACCGGCAAACACCCAGTAATGTTTATTGAGTGAGAGGCAGAAGTTGTAGAAGTTGTTTTTTGTTTGTTTTTTAGTTAATGTTAGTGATTTTACAGTGAAGAAGGACAGACTTGGGCATTGGGCACAAGCTTTTAATCTCAGGCAGAGGCAGGAGGATCTCTGTGAGTTAGAGGTCAGCCTGGTCTACAGAGCGAGTTTCAGGTCAGCCAGAGCTATATAATAGAGACATCTCTCTCAAAAAACAGAAACAGAAACAAACAAACAAAACAAAAAGGACAGGACCACAAACTCTCTGCTTTCACAGCCAAAGTCGGAAAGCAAAAAGCAGAGTGCAATGTGGGGAGCAGTAAATGGGTGTTGATCTGAGGGTTTTTGTTTTGTTTGTTTTACATTTTTTCTGTTTTGTATTTTTTTCTCAAGACAGAGTTTCTCTATGTAGCTTTGTAGGCTGTCCTGGAACTCACAGAGATCTGCCTGCCTCTGCCTCCCGATTAAAGGCTTGCGCCACCACCGTCGTTCAGTTTGAAGACTTTTTTTTGTTTGTTTTTTTGAGGCAGGGTTTCTCTGTATTGCTTTGGAGGCTGTCCTGGCACTCACTCTGTAGACCAGGCTGGCCTCGAACTCACAGAGATTCGTCTGCCTCTGCCCGCGGAGCGCTGGGATTAAAGGCGTGAGCCACCAATGCCTGGCCGAGGATTGTTTTTATGAGAAATTAGTACTGAATTGTATTAGAATTCCATTTCTTTCGGTTCTCCGAAAACGGAATCTGTCAAAGATATGCCCATTTTTCCAAACTAAACCAGTATCTTTATTCTAGTAGGAGTCAAAACCGTCTGTAGAAAGTACCAAAGTTTAGTCCTTTCCTCCGAATCTTTTTCTCTCCTTTCGATTTGGAGTACCTCATTGTTCATTCAGTTTAAGACATTTCGGAGCAGTACCTTACAGGCCGTGGGGGCAGAGGCTGGACTCTTTGGGGACTCCATAAGAATGCTGGCAATGGCAAAAGCGGCGGGACAGAGGCCGGGATAAAACAAAACCATCTAACACAGACACAGATACACTGGCGAGGTAAAGTAGGATGTAAGTAAAAAAGATGCAAGAGTAGAAGGATCCAGAGCTGATAAAGTGACAAGCTCAGAGGCAGCGCGAGACTCCGTTGGAGCGAGCGTAGGGACACTGCCTGGCCACTTGCCTGGTGGAACCAAAAGCCCTGTGGCCACGGGCCCGGCGGGCTGCGGGGGAGGAGGTGGGACCAGTTTCTCCGCTCAGGGCGCGACAGTGCTCGGGACACGGGCGGGGCGCGTCCCCCGCTCTAGGCAGGGCGTTGGGGCTGGTGACTCAGAGCTTTCCTCCGGGCCACGCCCTTCACCGGCCACGCCCCACCTCGTTAACCACGCCCTCCACTCCGTTGGCTCCACCCCGTGAGGAGGAGCCTCCCCCTCATCTCCGCCCCAGTCTCGGGGCGGGCCCGAGTCTGAGGAAGAGGAAGGGGACTAGGACAACGAGCGACGGGCGGCGGAGGACGCGGAGGAGGAAGGGGAGGCCGACCAACAAGATGGCCCCTGCTGCAGGAGCAGCCTCAGCAGCAGCAGGTGGGGGGCTGGAGGCGGCGCTGGCGGTGGCGGCTCCGGCCGTAGTCCCGCGGCCTGGGACAGAGTCAGAGTCGATGGTGGCAGCGGCGGCGGAGGCGGCTGCCGCGACGGTGGCGACGGCCGCAGGGACCCGGAGCTGAGAGGAGCTGCTGCTCGGACCAGCGCGGTGAGCAAGTGGCGGGCGGCAGCGTGGGGAGCGGGGCGGCCGCGGCTGAGAACAATAGGCAGCGGCGGCGGGGATGGGGCTGTCCTCACCCGCCCTGCGTCGGGGCCGGCCCCGGGGCTTGTCAGTGGCCGGCGTCCTTTAGGCCTCAGGCCTCCGCGTGCCGCCCGGAGGGCCTGCCCGGGAAGGTAGGCCGAGGGACCGCGCAGACACCGCCCTGGACGAAAGAGGGCTGGGGAGGCTGGGGCGGCTGGGGCGAGAGGGGTGAGGGTCCTAGGCTGGCCGGTTCCCGGTCCCCCCGAGGACAGCCGGCGGCGGAGAGTTGCTCGCTGGGAATGTTGTTTGGACCCCTGTCTGTGCGGTGGGGGAGGGAGAAAGCTCCTGTAAACAGCCGCCGCTCCTGCCTAGCTGCCAGGCGTGGCTGCTCCTTCCCCAGCCCCCTTCCTCGGCCAAGTGGGTTTTAGGGTGACGGTTTCCCTGGGGTTCCTGTAGATAAACCCTATTGGCCAAGACGAAACCATGTGCAGGTGCCTTTTTCAAAAAAACTTAAGTGCCACAACAACAACAAAAATACATAAAATACGGTTGTTGGTAAAGGATGGAGTAATAAGGGGTGGACCTTTCCTTAACATTATTCTAAACATCAGGTCTCTAAAAATCACTGGACTCACATCCCTGGTGAGGGTGAACTGAAACCAGGGCTCTTTTGAAGCAGCAATAATATAACTCTTGACATCCCAGAATAGTCTGAAACTGGAAACAAAGCCACTTACTGGCAACGCAGAGACAGATTAAGGTTTGAGCAGAACTTTTCTAACTAGCCGTTTTGAATTGTGTAAGGCAGAGGAAATAACATTAACCATTCTGATAAAGTGCCTATCTTCTGGAGGCACTTACTTAGGAGAGAAGTGGTTCATTTGTCCCCTTACGATTTCTTGTCTCATGTTCTCATATTTTCGCCAATTTGCCCTAAAAATTGCTGGATAGAAGCCTTTTTCTCTGTTTGAAAATTCATATTTAAAGCCTACTTTCTGATATTTCAGAAACTTTTAGCCTGGCATTGTGTTGCATGCCTGTAATCCTAGCACTCTGGAAGCCAACACAGAAAACAAAAAAACCAAATCAACCAGCCAAACACTAAACAGTTGAAACTTTTACTAATAATTAAAAAAAAAGAGAGACCGGGCGTTGGTGCCACATGCCTTTAATCCCAGCACTCGGGAGGCAGAGGCAGTCTGATCTCTGAGTTCGAGGCCAGCCTGGTCTACAGATAGAGTTCCAGGACAGCCTCCAAAACAATACAGAGAAACCGTGTCTCGAAAAACCAATAAATAAATAAATAAACTAAGTAAATAAAATAAAAAATAAAGAAAGAAAAGAAACAATTGTGACCTGTTTTAAGTAGCTAGGCTTAGGATGAGACAGACCTTTTATATTAGTATATTATACTGCAGTAATATCTTAAAACGTAAGTTAACTTTTTCTCCTAAACTTAATTTTTCAAGTTGTTTACTACATATAGTTTCAAGTAAGGGGTGGAGTGGGGTGAGTTCTGTTCCAGTTTCTATTGTGTATGCAGAAAATTATATGTAAAGCTTGAATGCATTCAAGAAGACTGATTAATATTCACTTGCAGGATCTATTAGGGGCTTTGTATTTGTTCCTTGAATTGTTTTGGAGACAGGGTCTTGCTGTAGTCTAGGCTGGGCAGGAATTAACAATCTTCCTGTCTTAGCATCTGAATGCTGGACTGAGTTAACATTCTTCTTTTCCTTTCTCTTTTATTTATTTATTTTTACTTTTGAGACAGAGTTTCTCTGTGTAGCCTTGGCTGTTCTGGAACATGGCCTCGAACTCAGAAATCCACCTGCCTCTGTCTTCTGAATGTTGGAATTAAAGGTGTTTGCCACCACTGCACAGCTAAGTTAAGTTTTTTTGTTTTGTTTTTGTTTTTTGAGACATGCTTTCTCTTATAGCTTTGGAGCCTGTCCTGGAACTCGCTTTATAGACCAGGCTGGCCTCAACCTCACAGAGATCCACCTGCCTCTGCCTCCTGAGCGCCTGGCTATGAATTAACATTCTTTTTTTTTTTTTTTTTTAAACGAGACAGGGTTTCTCTGTATTATTTTGGAGGCTGTCGGTCCAGCCCGGCCTCAAACTCACAGAGCTCTGCCTGCCTCTGCCTCCCGAGTGCTGGGATTAAAGGCATGGGCCACCACTGCCCGGCATGAATTAACAGAATTAACATTCTTAAAAGGAAGGTTGACCTGTACAAAGAAAATAGTGATTGATCGCTTTTGCCAATTTCTAGGGTAAATTCCTAATTAGAATTTATCTCTGTCATTGTTAGAAGCATTGTTCAGTAATTAGAAATTTAATTACTAGCTTCTATTTCTGCTGCAAGAATTGGTAGTAAAATAGCCGGGTGTTGGTGGCTCACAATCCCAGCACTTGGAGGCAGAGACAGGTGCAGGCAGATTTCTGTGAGTTCGAGGCCATCCTGGTGTACTGAGTGAGTTCCAGGACAGTCTCCAAAATAATAGAGAAATCCTGTCTCGAAAAACCAAAAAAAAAAAAAAAAAAAAAAGAAGAAAAAGAAAAAGGAAAAAAAGAATTGGTAGTAAATAACTATAAAACATGTAAATTGAGTCATCTTATTTAGGAATTGAGGTATAGTGTAGCAGATTCATATCAGTAACCTTATTTTATGCCTTAACATAGCATTGTTATGGATGATTTGATCTTTTGAATCATGGAGAAACAACTTTTTTTTTTTTTTTTTTCTTTCGAGACAGGGTTTCTCTGTGGCTTTGGAGGCTGTCCTAGAACTCCCTTGGTAGTCCAGGCTGGTCTCGAACTCACAGAGATCCGCCTGCCTCTGCCTCCCGAGTGCTGGGATTAAAGGCGTGCGCCACCAACGCCCGGCCGAGAAACAACTTTTACATTGCATGGTTACTGTTAATATGACTTGTGACTTTTAGAGGAGGTGGCTAAGAATTTCAGAATACTTTTATTTTTGTTGTTGAAGTCACATTGGTGGTTTTTCTTTTCATACTGAGTTTTGTTAGGCACAGAAAAGAGTATGTGTATATTGTAATGATACTAATGTTTATTTGTGGCTCTAAGCATATTGCAACAATTACATAATACTGATTTATGAGTTTGTAGATTTTAAGTTAGGAAAAAAACCTCATCAGGCATTGGTGGTGCCCACCTTTAATCCCAGCTCTCAGGAGGCAGAGACAGATCTCTGAATTCCAGACCAGCCTGGTCTACAAGTGCTAGTTCCAGGACAACCTCCAAAGCTACACAGAGAAACCTTACCTCTAAAAAACAAAACCAAAAAAACTCATTGTTTCATCAAGGATTTACTAATCTCATTTGATACATTTTTTCCTGAAAACAAAGGTCTTCAACTACTGAACCAGGGAGAGATGGCTCAGTGGGTAGTGCTTGCTGTGCAGGTGTGAGGACCTAAGTTCAAATCTCTAGCACTCAAGTAAAAATCATGGTATGATGTGCATGCCTGTAATCTCACTGTGGTGGGGACTGGACAGGAGGACCAGTGGAGTTTTCTGGTCACCAGCCTAGCTCCAGGTTTGCCGATAGACCCTGTCTCAAAGGAATAAAGCAGAGTGCTAGAGCAGCAGAGAGCTCCCATGGCTTCCTAATGAGCACTTGTCTGTGTGTTTTGTATCTGCATATGTACATGCACACCACACACACTAAAATCTTTTGGTTTTTAGAGACAGGGTTTCTCTGTGTAGCCCTGGCTGTCCTAGAACTTGCTTTGTAGACCAGGCTGGCCTTACACTTAACAGATTCACCTGCTTCTGCCTCCCAAGCACTGGGATTAAAGGCATGCATCACCACTGCCCAGCAAAATTTATGTATTTATTATTAATTTTTTATGGGTTTTCAAGACAGGGTTTCCCTGTGTAACAATACTGGCTGTCTTGGAAATCACTGAGATCTGTCTGCCTCTGCCTTCCAAGTGCTGGTATTAAAGGGATGCACCATCAACGCCTTATTTATTACGTTTTAAGATAGGGTCTTACTATGTAAGTTGACTTTCCTGGAGCTTGCTTTCCTAGAGGTTGGCTTTAAACTCCTGAGTGCTGGAATTAAAGGTTTGTACCACCGTGTCCAGCCTTTAGATTTGCATTTTCTTAGTAATATTAACAGTTAAAAAATCTGTTAAATCCTATAAAGAGATTGGAAAGAGGAATATTGTATATCATTTAAAAAATGATAGTGTTGGGGAGTGTATACGGCTCTGTGTTAAAGTGCTTGCCTAGCATTCATGAGAGCTTGGGTTCTAGCCCCAGCAGTAAACATTGTCATCAATATCAACAACAACAAAAACCAGCATGGTAGCACTTGCCTTTAATCCCAGCACTTGGAAGGAAAAGGTAGGGAGATCTTTGAGTCCAAGGCTAGCCTGCTCTCCTAAGTTCCAGGACAGCCAGAGCTATTACACAGAGAAACCCTGTCTTGGAACACAACCCTCCCCCCCAAAAAAAAAACACACCAAGAACCTTCAAACCAATCTTCATTCCAAAGCTTTGGGTAAGGCAGAGGCAGAAGGATCATTTCAAATTTGAAGCTAATCTGGGCTACAGAGTAAGTTCTAGTATGAGGCCTGTCTCAAGAAAACAAATAGAACCGAGTGTGTGTGTGTGTGTGTGTGTGTGTGTGTGTGTGTGTGTGTGGTTTTGAGAGCATATTCATTAAAAGCATTTATTTAGTCCTTCTAGTTATGTTGCATTAGTAGTTGGTTGCATTGTTATCTTTATTTCACATATACAGAATCTGGGGTTAGAAGCAGCTAAGTAAATAGCAAAAAGGTCCCATATTTAATAGATAAAAGTGAACTGAAACCTAGGTCTTGACACAAATTAGCTGTTTTACCACAGCCATTACATGTGTCATTATTATACCTTCTGTATTGACAGATATCTTTTTCCTACTGTGAGTTATGTTTTTTTTTGTTTTGTTTTGTT